GTCGTAAGTTTACTGAGCAGATTTTATACTTTGGCACTGGTCTTTGTCTTTGACGTGAACATAATTACAGAACATTTATTATTCCAGTTTAAGATTATTTAAGAGTGATCCTGTTGAAAGTCTTTTACCAGCAACCCATCGACAATATTTCAGTTTAGTGTTGACTTTGTCGTTCCGTTGGATTCCGCGCGTTACTTTTGTTTTAAATGCCTTGATCGCGTTAAAAAAGTTGTTTCTCAGCCCAGAAACATAGCCAAAAGACTTAACATTAACGTCCTTGTGATTTTATAGAGATAGAGCCAGAACTGAGGATTTTAGAAAGCTTTATCTGTACCTTCCCAAAGTTGTAGACAAGATATGTTGTTTACGTCCAACACACATCATATTACATAACTCAAAATGATTCGAGCAAAAGTGACATAATCATTGAGTGACATAATCGTTTGTCGTCATCGATCCGTGTCGTTGAACAATGAAAAAAGTGGTTGTGAAATTAGTGAAGATTAAATTGCAGTTTGTGAGAAAACTGCGGGTCTACGGAGTGGAAACTTTTCGGATTTGAACTAAGCGTGTTCGAAAGTGTCAGTTCCCGTAAAAATATTTCAGTTCCAAGACATGGGAAATGAAAGTAAACGATATCGGGACGCAGCAAACGGCGATATCATTCTTTTAGTGCTTTTCTCGAAGTTAGTTTCAGTGTAATTCGTTGCAAATTTCACAAAGAAAATGACTGAACAATCCAACTTGCCACCTACCACTGACATCCACGAGCATTCATGTGGTTTCAATCAGCACTCCTTCAGCGTTTAACCCAGCTGTTATTTCCTCGGCAGTTTCGGGGTTGTTATCGGCTGCATTGAGTTCGCTAGTCAGTTTCGTCCGCCATTCGCACTATTCGCCGTCTGTCTTCGTCATCAGCCTCGAGTCCACCTTCCTTCCCTCAGTATGTCTTGGCACCACCTACGAGCCCATTTACTCTACGTTTACCGGGCCTACCGGCTACATCAGCTCAGCAATGTGGCCATCCGTCGGCATCTTCGCAATGAGTCGCATTAATTCTCATTATAAGTATGTATGCATATGTATGTATATTCATGTTATATTCGCAGCATGTCGGTTTTCGCAGTGATCGCTATTCGCATGCCTTCGTTCTTCGCAATGATTCGCATTAAGTCGCATTTATAGTATAATTATTAATTACATAGGCGATTGTTGAAAATTCTTCACGCTGATTGGTTGCCGTTGAGAACGCGTGTGTCCAGTTGCAGCGCTTTAATATTAGTGAGCTTAAGCAAGTGACGTTTTCGACAACACGGACGTCGACCGGAAGTAAAGTTGATGTTTTTCACCAATCACAGCCCTTGACCCAGTCTTCTGACGTTACTCATGCCGTTCGTGTTGTCAAAAACGTCACTTGCTTAGGCTCACTATTATCTGGAGGTACACGGCACAACACCTAGCCTACGCAGCAGTCGCTTTATTTTATCGAAGGTTTTAAGGATTTTTGAATAAATGGAGGGTTAGAAAAAATGGACGAAGAGAAAAAGGGCGAAAAATAAAGCGCCTGCAACTGTTTTTAATAAAAATTAATTTCGCCAACTTAGGCCCGGTTCACATGATTCCGGGATAAACAACTGCCCCGCGACAAGTCATTGACCCGGGATACTGATATCTCTACCTCCTCCGCAGGCGCTTAGGGAGCATTTCGGGCAGGTTCGGAAAATGCGGGTCACAGGCGAGAGCGCCTGCCGAGTAATGTTTTCAAGATGGCGGGTGCTATAAATCGAAATTTTCATTTTGACTTTACTAATTACTATTATGACTTAATATACAACATACATACCAGCACTGATTTAATAGATCTAAATAATATTTAGAAATAGCATCCAGTGGTCTTGGTAGACTAAAAAGTACTTATAACTAGCCACCGCTTTTCGATGCCGATGGAGACTGTTTTATAAAGTGTTTATACAATGCAAATACAACAATAACAACATCAACGATATTACATGCATCTACATATTTTGCTACTAAGCCTATGATAAGCCATTTCAAATACTTTAGATATGATTCAAACATCAGTCTGCATGAAACAGTAAAAGCACAATTTGAAAGATGGATATGGTGAAAAACTGAAAATATATTTGCATTTAATATTATTAAAAATACATTCACAATGTATTAAAATAGAAGTAATATAGCGTCTCATTGTTCGCTTGTTCTTTGTCTTTTGAGTGATAATAACACAATGTCTGCATGTAGAACTCCATTACCACAAAAATCTACATACCAAGTCCATTTCAAAAGACGATATATTGAGAGTATCGACATCGCTGCCGTCGAACGACCAGCTTAACTTATGTCAATATGTCATATGCCCAAAAATACTGTTTCATGTTTCAGCGGATCAAATTTCTTCAGAATGTAATTCGAAACAAATCAGAAGGCCCAGAAGATAAAAGACGTCATGTCGCGGATGGTGGGATGTGGATGAACAGCAGATCTTGGTGCACTTTAAACTTAAATAATATTTCTCTGTATTTTCTGCGTTCTCGTATAAATATGACGCCGGTCGTATATCGATTTCTTTCTTTATTTGCCGTATTTCCATTTGATATTTTTGTCAGCAAGTCCAGAATTAATCCAGCTTACGTGAGAAATTAATTTGAACTAATGATGGACGAAATTTCAAAGAGATTTTTTTGGATTCCCGATTTTCGACACATATTCCCGATTTTCGACACATTATATGGCAGGCCCTTCGCGCTTCGCTTCAAGTTCTAAAAGTGGCCCGCAAAAATTTGCACCGCCCGCAAATGTGCCCGGAAAAAGGGCCTGCGGAGGAGGTAGCTGATATCTTCTGTTCACTTGAACAAAGCTAGCGCGGGTCATGCCTATAAATACATTACGCGGGAATCATAAAATATTCCCGCCAACGTGAAACGGTGAAATATTGCTAAATAAAAAATATTCTGATAAACGCAAGTCGTATTATATGTTATGATATTTACAAATAGAACGCAGTTGATTATCAACCGTAGTAAAATGTCCTCAATTCATTGTTTCTGGTTGGCCAGATCAAATTCTTTGAGTAACATACTACACTTCTTGGTTTCAAACATGATATTAGCGACAATTTTATTTTAATATTATTAGAATCATCACTTATAGATTTCTTCTAATGATATCTTCAATCAAATATCAAGTTTCTGTGGAGTCCAACGTGCTCTAAATGTGATTTTAACCGCGATTTTGATTGTTTTACCAAAAATTCAATTATCCCAGGACAAAGTTTCCCCGGGGCAAAGTGTTCACATAAGGAAAAGTTGTCCCGGCAAGGCGAGTGTCCCTGTCTACAGAGGCGAGGCACTCGGGTCAATTCTTGCCCCGGGGCAAGTAAAATATCACGTGAACAGCACTATTCTTTTACTAAGGAGCCGAGACAGTTTTTGTCCCGCGACAATTGCTTGCCCCGAAACATAACGCTATCCCGGGTTCATGTGAACAGGGCCTTACTTGAAATTTCCGGCCAAAATACACGGCAAAATTACAACCAACCAATCAGACACGAGCCGCAAGTATGAAGCGAATGTATCACAAATGGTTACCTTTCTCCGACCCATTTTTGGAGGAGGCACCATTGGTTGTCTAAGGTTTCTAGGAATTATTATCCTTGATGATGTTGCCTGCTTAGTCTGGCGCATCTTTAACTAGCTACCGATTCCATCTCTATCGGCGACAGCGGGCAAACATAATTTAGTATGGTAATATCTGGTAACATTAATTGCTGGACGGAAAGGGATGTAACCTAACGGCCACATCAGATGATTAAAGACCACGTAAAGTCCGTTCTGCGCAGGCTTACATTCCAATGGTCGGGACCCGACCGTTGGAATGTCATTAATATTTCGTATCTTTTGAACTTTCTTGAATTGAATCTCTAGTCTGTCTTCATTTACAAGCATAGCGAACCAGAAGAGTGTTGAAAATTCAGTATAATATATATCTAATCATATTTTACAACTGTAGCACTGAGTTCAAAATGTAAACAAAGCGTTTGTTTACATACGGACTTTACATGTTCTTTAATATATCGTATGAGATGTTAATATAATGTTCATAGTTACGACATTCGTCGCGCACCGATGGATCACAAGACAGTAGTAGTATTGATTGCGAGATTAAACTATGCAATAATTTAATTAAATTGGAACTAGAAGTTACTATTCAAGTAAAGTGCTGCCATCATGCTAAAAACGTCTGCGAAATTTATCGACCTAACTAAGAGTAAGAACTCCTGACAGCTAAATTTAAAAACCGGGCGTACGGGGTTCGCGATTTTCGGTGGGGGGAGGCAGTTTTTATTTAGGATTGTAATGAAATAACCTGAATTCGAAATATTTTCTGATAAATCTGCCTGAATTTCCACGATTTTCCCCTGATATTATTTTCCGAATTTCCATTGCTTTTCGGCGTACGCTTATTCAGATAGCACTATATCCACCGCAAAGCGACTTTTTCAAGCTTTCCAAAATAACCTCCTTGTTTGGTATAATACATGCAGATTAAAAATTAGTATTTATAACTGAATTTCGTTTTATCGATTGATTAGCCGGACAAAATAATAAAATGCGGACGGCGCAAAGAAATGCACAATAAAATTGTTTAATTGATGAAAGACGTTTGCCTATTGCTTTGGTAAAGCTACGTTTACACGCTGTGATTTGTCGTGTATGATTCGTATTCTGGTGTATGTAATTTATTGCTGACTCCACAATTCCTCTTTATTCAGATTATGGCGAAATTTGAAATGCAACCACTTTACGCGTGCTTATACACGACAAATCGTAGCGCGTAAACGTAACTTAAAAAAGTGCGAAAATGACGTCTAAATTTCTAGGTCTCTAATAATTAATTTCGGCTGTCATCCTGCCAGCTGAAAGTTCTTGCCAAAACGGCAGAATTCTGTCTGAACTCTGTAATTTGGCTCCCCATAATTATTTTACAATCTTCTGTTAATAGCGAGTTTCAGATTTGATTTCCACTACCACTACCTCACACCGGCTTGGTAACTACGTATCTGATCGATTAATTGAATATATCAGACCCATCTGATTGGTTAATGATGCTTTAAAGGTAGTGCTAGCGGTAGTGGAAGTCAAATCTGAATCTCTCTAATATCAAATATCTTAAATTTTATTCATCTGTTCCTTTTTGAATGCACTTCTCAACTCATTGTAATCTTGAAATCCGGTTTGTTTCCCAACGACTTCCAGCCACTTTGCCTGAATACTTTCTTTAGTTTTGTCATCCATCAACTCTCGTCCTTTCGTGGCAGATCCTGTGACGATCTTACTGGGTACAGCATCATCAGGTATCCCACAACTTTTATTCCGACAACGTGCGAGACGAACATCTGAAAACTTACTCTCATTTTTCTTCATAAATTCAAAGGAACTCATTTCCACAGCCTTCTTAATCTTTTCTTCATCTTGAATTTCCATGAATGCTGCAACCATCCTTACTACACTTTCTAAATCATCTTTCATATCCTCAAAGAACAGAAATAAAACATTCGAATCATTCCTGTGTTCCCACCAGCTGAGCAAGTGGACAAAATAGGATGCAACATCTGTCTTCTTTTCTGGAGCACAAATAGCGAGTAGAAAATCTTTCACAAATTCATGAAGTGAAATGTCCCCTGATTGAAAAAACCAACCCTTGTAGAAGTTGAAGTAACTGTAGAATGCAGCACATGGTTCACGGTAAATAACAATGTATTTAGCGCCCATGGGACACGAAGGATACCATGTATGAGTCTTGTAACATCTAATAACGAGAACAAAAGATACGATCCTAAATTATGACAAGAACGGTTTGTGCCAGTGTAGGTTATTGACTTTATTATTATTGTATTGACACTCCCCTAAAGGGGCTTTTCAGTGACAAAAATGTGAAAATTATAGACCCATTTCTATTTTGTCAATTGTAAGTAAAGTCTTTGAAAAAGAAGTGTTTAGGCAAATGTATACGTACTTGAATGAAAGTAATCTTCTCTCAAAGTATCAGTCTGGCTTTCGGCCACAACACTCAACCTTATCAGCCCTCATTAAAATATGTGACGAAATCTTAAATAACATGGACGAGGGGAAAATAAACTGTATAGTATTTTTAGACATACGGAAAGCTTTTGATTCAATAAATCACAATAATTTATTAAGTAAAATGAGATCCAACTTTGGCATTAGCGGTAGTGAATTACTCTGGTTTGAATCAAACCTAACGAATAGGGAACAACATGCGCAGCTAATGGGATACTATCCTCCGTTGGAAAATTAAAATGTGGGGTCCCCCAGGTGTCGATCCTGGGGCCGTTGTTATTTCTGCTCTACATCAATGTCCTACCACAATGTCTCCAAAAAACCACGCCGGGTCTTTATGCTGATGACAGGGAAATTTACGCGTCATCACACAATGTAAATGATCTTTTTGACAGCATAAATTATGACCTAAATATTGTTACGCAATGGATGGAGAATAATAAGCTACAAATTCATCCTAAGAAATCTAAATGTATGTTTATTGCATCCCCTTATAAAATTAAGAATATACCTCAAGGAATACCGATATTAATTAATAATGTTCCTATCCCAAGATTAAATTGCTATAAATGCCTCGGTGTCACTTTTGACGAAAAGTTGAACTGGGAACATCATATTGATATGACTATTAAGAAAGTTAATGCAGGCATTGCAGTAATTAAAAGAATGAAAACCTGTGTTCCTCAGGAATTCTTACAAACAGTTTACAACGCCTTAATACAACCCTATTTTGACTACTGCTGTCAATTGTGGGATACCTGTGGAATCGTCCTAAAGGAAAAACTACAAAAATGTCAATCCCGAGCTGCTAGAGTAATAACAGGAGCATCTTATGATATTAGGTCGGCCGATGTTCTTGCAACTTTGGGGTGGCAAACTCTCGACAACAGGCGAAAATACTTGAAATCCATTTTTATTTACAAAATATTAAATAATGAAACTGCTCCAAACCTGAAAGAAAATTTTTTGAAAATAAGGGATTGTCCAATTATACACCAATTAAGAAATTCTCAAACAGATCTGGTACTTCCATTCCCAAAATCACAATTTAAGAAAAAGACGTTCAGTTATAGTGGAGCAACTCTTTGGAATAACTTATCAATTACTGCTAAACAATCCAATTCTATGAGCTGTTTCAAAAGACTAATGAAGCTACATTTTCGAAAACCATAAGTATGTAAATAGTTTTGTATGTTTGTTATTTATTTATGTTTGTTAATTGTCTAAATAATTCATAACTTGTATATTTAGCTATAACTGATGTAAACCAGATTCCGCAATGTAGGTCAGTTCTTTCATTGGCTCACATTTGAAGCTTTGGTTGACATAGGCAGAGACACCACCTCCTCTCTTACCATTGCGATCAAGTCGAAACAGAGCATATCCCGGGAATTCAATTTCAGTATCCGTAACAGAGGTGTCCAGCCAAGTTTCTGAGATGGTGAAAATGTCAAATTTCTGTTTTAGGACCAGATCCTGTGCCAGTAGGTAGTGCTTTTTGTTCTTTAGGGAACGGATGTTTAGATGAGCAATCTTAATGTTACCTTGATTTGAGGAGATTTTAGCCGTGTTCGTATTATTGGTTGAACGGTAATTTATATTATCAGACTGAGCAGGACCAGGGTTAGACTCTACATCCATATAAACAGTAAGGTCAATATCTTTGTGAAAATCAGGGGGCGATAAATAGATTTGTCCGCGTTTAGACCAGCAGACTTGGGAAGTACGTAAAGGAGCCTTCAGTCTGTGGCGTTTGGTTTTTAACACGCGACGTAATAGAAAAGAGTATAATATTTCGGTCGTGTTCATTGTATTGATAACACTCGTGATAACGTTGTCCAAACTGATAAACTCAAAATTCGTAACTTTCGATCTCGCATAAAAAGCGACCGTTTTGGTTTCTCCAGAAATTTGGTTGCTTCGTAAAATCATCCACAGGAAGAAAATAGTGTAGCTGTATTTAAGTGAAAACATGTTGAATTCTCAATAAGAAGTTCTAATTTGTTTTAATTATTTTGTTCTTTTCGGCGCACACGCCAAAATTATTTAAGCGCGCGCGATGGGGTGATTGTTTGTATTCGTCAGCCAACGGTCCTCGGCCTGCGAATGCGGAATAGATAACTGAAAAACTCCAAATTCAGCGTAATTACTGACGAAAAACCAACAATTACTCAGCAAGTTATGTAGATAAAGTAGCAAGATAACAAGAGAGCTGCGGATTTCAGAGAGATAACAACTACCTGAAAAATACAAGCAAATCATCGACGTTTCGAGCAAAGTTCTGCTTGTATTTTTCAGGTACTTTTATGTATCTCTCTAAAATCCGCAGATGTCTTCCCTAAATTAAACAGTATGCTAAATATATATATGTTATTTACCGGCTGGGAGGTCCGGATAGAAAAATATTTTGTCGAGGTCTCAAAAACGGTTCGAGGCCGAAGGCCGAGTAACCTGAAGTTCAGGCCCTAATCACAGAATAGGGCCTGACACAAAACCTATCTAAACTGTGGGATTCCCGTCCATCTGGTGGACGGGAAATCTGATTGGTTGATCAGCATCATGAAGGATTTTGAATTAGCTCGGTCAAGGGCTCACTCAAGGCGACAATTAATATAAAGGTCAAACGCACGTAACAAATTCCATTGTCGATTTCTTCGAATTTCTTTTCTTTTATGCTTTATGGCAGAAAATAAATCAAACAAACAGTATTTTGAAATGGCTTCACCAAAATCTTTGACGAATTTTGGACACACGACGCCGAAAGAACAGCCAAACTAGTCATGTATTCGAAAGCTTGTTGTTGACAGCCAAGATGTTCTGCCAACTGGCTTCGCCGGCAAAAGTCTTATTTTTAATATCAGGTCCTACCGGCGTTGCCGGCGTTGTTTTCTGAGCTACATCGCCTTCTTCGTGGTACGATTGAGAATTTCATTGTTGCTGTTGTCATCCCGTTAGTCGTTAGAGTATATCCGCGTCCAGCAAGTTGAGACCTTGAGAAAGCTTGGCAGTCAAGCCGTGCACAGAACTGACTAATTAAATCTTTGTTTGCTGTTCGGTTAAATAGAGAAACTGACTCTTAATTTATATGTAAAAGTACCTTGAATTTTTAAGTTTAATTAAAAAGCAAAATGCACACTCTGCGGACATGTTCATGAGAATATAAATTTTTTGTGTAACGAAATCTACAACCCTTGTCAATCATATTGCGTGTGTCTGAAAATAACATGTGGGCGTTCCACGGTCTAGACAGGTTTTGTGTCAGGCGCTATTTCAAATTAGAGCCTGAACTTCAGGTTAAAGGCCGAGGGACGTTTTTGAGACCGAGACAAAATATTTTTCTATCCGGACCAACCTAAACGGTAAATAACGTATTTATTTTTTGTCGAAGACTCGGAGGTAAATGGCAACGGTTTTACTAGATTGCGCATATAGAAAACAAAACAATACAAATATTTTGATATTTAATTATTTTACTTTAGAAAACAAACAATTCGATTAAAATACAGTACAATTATTTTATCCATCATTAAAATTATTTCAAAATTACATATTCCAATTTTTCAGTTTTAAAACAAACATACAAAAAATTTTTGCTTTGCTTCAGCCATTACATATAGGATTCCGGACCGTGGTCAAATATCGTAAAATCCCGCCCGCTGCTGCAGCCAATCAGATTGCAGAAAACGCAAGGATTCCGCCCGCTGCTGATTTACAAAAAAATAAAATACATGTACAAGAGGTTCACTATATCAAAAATATGATGTCAATCTTACTGCAACGGCAAAGAAAAGGATATAGAACAGCATGTTTCTGAAGTAATTAAGACATATGTGAAGAGAATTGTTCCCCAATTCTTATGTGATTATTCTAGATTTTAATCATTCATCAATTGACAGTATAATATCATGATTGCGGGTATTCCCTTTGTTCTCGCAGGACAATTAAAAACTAATACACCTCATTATATTCATTTTTTCTAATCCTACCCGCTTTTACGTCATGTCAGGTAGAATTAGTTCTAATCCTACCCGAAACGACGTCAAAGCGGGTACGATTAGAAAAAATGAATATAAATGAAGATATCTGAAATCGCCAAAACTAAACAAAGACATGGAAAACAATTATACCATTTAATTTATACCATTATTTATTGTTAATTGGTTTTTAATGGCCCTGCGAGAACAACGGGAATACCCGCAATCATAATATTATTTAACAATTATTCGCCGAAGGCGAGGTGATTATCGGTGAATAAAAACCGAGACGAAGTCGAGGTTTTTATTCACGATAATCACCGAGCCTGAGGTGAATAATTGTTTTAGTATAATTTCATAGGTGATTATTTGGGGGAAAAATTTAAAAATGCACATTTCTTCGTCATTTAATTGACAAAACGGCTTCGACCGCCATTTTGAAAATCGCTTAGGTGATTATCGCGTAATAATCACCTCAACGGCAACCAATCAGCGTAGAGAATTTTCAATAATCACCTATGTAATTATACTAAAAGGTAATAGCATAAAAAGAGGCGAATTAACAAGGGAATTAATAATGTTAGCCAATCAGCGCGTTTGTTTACATTTTGCGTCCTTGACCAATCAGAATGCCTGAAATTCGAAACATATAGACAAAAGGAGTGAGAAAATAACACCTTGTTCTACGCCCCTCGTGACATTCGATATTAAACTTTTTACTCCAAAACTGAGAAATTCTGATAAAGCATGCTTTCTTCTTTAATTTCCTCGGGGGGATTTTTTAAATTCGATCTAGACTGCGAAATATTTATGTTTGAATAACAGTGTTTTAACGCGCGTAAAATAGTATACTCTCACTTGCACTATCTTAACACACACATAAAAAAATTGGTAGATTTGGCAGTTTAAACTTATTTTCCCCACACCACAGCCGAAATATTTTTAAATATTACCTATATCATCTCATCTCGGATCGGAAATGCGTCACAACGATCCAGGACAGTATCGCATGACTCATACACACTCATTACTGTACATATCCGGTTGGCAAAATGGCGATTGTCAGACCTTCGCGAAATGCTTATTTTTGCTAACTTCGTCTTCTGGTTCATCGTCATCGGCTGCCTCACTTTCTTCGTCGCTTTCGTCCTCTCCAAAGCGAGTCGCCGAGGCAAACAGCGTTAATATTTGCTCTCTTTCCAAGGCCTTCCAAGAGCTTCAACATTTGCCAACGTTGTTGCTTGACAAACTGGGCAATCGCTGATGTTGGACAGGATGCATTCGATGTGGAATGAATGTCCACAACCACGGAAAACGTTCCAAGTGGATTAACCTTTTTGCAGGCAGGTGAATTGCATTTTCTATGATGGAAATTTTAAAGTAAGATTTATATTTTATACAGATCTTTATAGTCAGTTTGTCCTTGGAAATTGTTCCAAAATATGAGTGTGTAGCAAAGTTAAAATAGTACTTATAATCTCCAGAACATGTTTGAATCACAGCAGTCCTGAGACATCGAAACTGGCAGCTGTTCATCTGATGATTCTGATCAATGGCACCCCATATCTATTTAGTGTACAATACCAGTCAATGTAAATTACCACCTCCCCCAACCCAGGAGTTGGTAGTTTTTACTTTTCAGCACTGCATAATCAAAATTGTTGGATTGTATGAAGATCTGGTTTTGTCTCAGTGACCCTGCTTCGCCCCATGAACCCCACACTTCCTAGATTCGAGCAGGCAGGGACTTATATTGACTGGTACTTAGTTCAATTGCAGCAATTGGTCTGCCTGTGTGTTATTTTTAAGTGTACCCCCTGGTTCTAGAGGCTCTTTGCAAGGTGAAAGAAACAAGAGGCGAGAACGGAGAGCCTCTGGTCACATCGATTGCAAATCCTACTTCCAAACTTGACTAGGTTCAGAATTTGGACCTTGGATGTGATTGGCCATTTGTAAACAACCTGTTTAAGAAAAACCTGTTTGGGAAATAAACACTACTGTGAGCTAATTATAGCCCGTATTAAAATATTCTATTAAACTCAACCAAGCATGAATATTAATACTCCTACAGGTGAAAAAGGTATCGAATTTCTCAGGAGATAAACATATTAATCAGTTTTGCAGGACATGTTAGTAATACATGCCCAAGCATGTATTGACTTTAATAGAATATTTTAATACAGGC